GAATTTAGCAAAATATATTCTGTTTAAAAGGAAATAGATTTTCCCGTGAGCTCAACAAGAATAAAATTAATTCTTTTCGCACACAACCTGAGTAAACACAGCATGGACAACTTCCATGACTCTATCATCATGAGTTGTGAAATATTAGGTATTTTTCTTAAAGCTCCAGTTTTTACTGTTAAGTAAACATGGACAGGATGTAGCATCTTGTGGGCATAATTGTTCTATAAATAATTTTACCAACATTAACAAAAATGGATTAATTGTAGCTCATCTCCCATGACCACACCTGCCTCATGACAATATACTGTAAATATATTCACTATTTTGTTTTATTTTTGCAAAGGAACATTGCATTTGTTGTACCAAGAGTCTACCTTATCTAGTATCCTGGTTGAAAGTGGTCAGTATCTGACACTTCAGAAGAAGGTGCAATCACTCCCCCCAGAGGAATAATCTGCCCAGCGGGGAAGAGCTTCCTAACTCTAATCAGTTAGGGTGTGTCTACACATCACCGTAACTTAAAATAAGATACACAATTTGCGTAGCTCAAATTGATTATCTTATTTTGATGCTATTTCAAAATAGTATATTTTGTCATTTGGTGCTGTCTATACAGTGCCAAATTTTGAAATAACCCACTATTTTGAAACCTCCCTTTCTCCTGGTAGAATGAGGTTTACAGGGACATTGGAATAGCTTGCCTGAAATAACGGGCTTGCTGTGAAGATGTGGGATAGCTATTTCTTGACACTCTGGTATCCTAAAATAGCATTTCAGTGTAGCTGTACCCTTAATGGTTAACCTGTATTCTGAAGCATGAGGGTTTAATATCACCTAAAAAATTTTTATCCTATCTAATGCAAGTGTGCATGTTTTAACTATTGATAAAAATGTCCAATTCTGTTTTTGTCCAAGTTTTGACTAATTATTATACAAAGCGAAGAAAATATTATTTTACTGGTAAAATATTTTTAAAATTAAACACAACAAATCCTCTATGCAAATTTTTAATTGATACAATGAACCATAAAACCTCATTATGAAATGTCAATAATTCTGTCTCATTAGAGATTTAAAAAAAGTCAAAAAACAACACTGGAAGTCTACAGACTTAGACTTTGATATTTCTTGAAACATTTTACTTCCAGACTTTTAGTAACATGTACCCTTGTTTGTTTTTTGGGGGGTGGGAGAAGTGGAATCAACCATTACTAGCAACCCCAGGAGTAAAAATTATGCTTCTGCAATCTTTTGATGTTGATTCTGCATGAAGCAGGAAAAGCCACAGCTGCCCCAGTTCATGTGCCATACATGACAGAAGCCCTAGTTTCTTTGAATGCGTGTGTTTAATATCTTCCTTGGTGTATTTGTTTGCTACTCCAAGAATGCCAGGTTAAAGTCATCTGAAAAAAAATTAAAGAGATTCCCCCATTCTGCCCTTCCCCATGTTTGTGGTATATTATTGATGGACTTTTTGTAACAGGAACTTATTTATTTAATTGGTTGATAGCGTTGTTTCTAATGATTCTCTAATCACAGATATTTATCTTGTACTCAACTACTATGGCCCCAGTTCTGCAAAGTTTTACCCATATGCTTAACTTTAATCATTGTATTCCTAGTTTAAAGTTAAGGCTGTGAATACAGCTACAGGATTGGAGTCTTAAAGTAGCAAATGAATAACATGCATTTTGATAATAAACATCACAACATGCATCTGACGAAGTGGGTCTTTGCCCACGAAAGCTTATGCTCCTACACTTCAGTTAGTCTATAAGGTGCCACAGGACTCCTCGTCGCTTTTGCAGATTCAGACTAACACGGCTACCCCTCTGATACTGATCACAACATCTCACAACTCTTCATGTACTCATCCACATAACATTTCTATGGGTGAAAATGAATTATCATTTTAATTTTACAGATAGGAGCTTTTGAAACGGAACTGAGCCAGAAATCCCCACAGGTATTTAGGTGTCTAATTCCAAAGAAATCAATGGGTGTTAGGCATCCTCAAAGGTAATTAGAAACCTAATTCTCAGTTATTTAAGTGGAGGTTGGATGCAGAGCCAAAACTAAGGTTTTCTGCGTCTGGAGCAAGCTACTAAACTGCCCCCTCCTCATCCCCCCAAAATTATAAAATTCTTGATGTTTTGTATTAATTTTATTAATTGCACATGTTGTTAATTGCACATATATTGAGATTTAAAATAGATGATAGTAAAGATATAAATGAAATACTATTTTAACATTCTAATTTTTAATTTTGCGCTCCTAAATGTACTGTGCCTGGGGTGAGTGCCCCACTTGCCCCACCTTTGTTATGGCTCTGGTTGGATGCCTACATTACTTTGAGATGTGGGCTTGAGGGACTTGCCCCAGTGTCACACAAGAAGTCTGTGGTAGATCCTAGAATTAAATCTGGGTCTCCTGATTTCTAATCCACATCTGAACAGTCTTTTCTCTGTCCATTTGCCATGGTTCATTGAGTCTTCAGTCTTTCTAATGAGACTGTCACCAAGGCCTATGATGTTGGCTTTGTGATGTTAGATTAAAATATTGTGCAAAACATATTAAAACAGTGTTAATTAACTGACTATGTATGTGGAATGGCTAAACGGTTAGGCTACGTCTACATTGGCAAGATTTTGTGCACATACTTTTAACACAAAGAGTTTTTGCGTTAAAGTATTTGCGCAAGAGAGAGTCTACACTAGCATGTGCTTTTGCGCAAGAGATGTGCTTTTGCGCAAAAGTATCCATGCCAGTGTAGATGCTCTCTTGTGCAAGAAAGCTCCGATGGCCATTTTAGCAATCGGGCTTTCTTGCACAAGAAATTCATGTTGCCTGTCTACACTGGCCTCTTGCGCAAGAACCATTGCGCAAGAGGGCTTATTCTTGAGCGGGAGCATCATAGTTCTTGGCAAGAAGCACTGATTTCACCCCCCCGCCAGTGTAGACAGGCAGCATGTTTTTGCGCAAAAGCGGGTGCATTTGCGCAAAATCATGCCAATGTAGACAAACCTGAGAGTGGTGGTGGTTTTTTATATAAAAGTGCACAGAAATAATAAAGCTATTGCCAGGGCTCACCGAACTATAGCGAGTCCCGCTTGCCAGCCACGCTGTCCAGCGATCTGTGCATGCGCAGATCATCCGAACCCGGCTCCTCCGGGTTGCAATCTACTCACCACGGGCGAGCAGAATGCATTATTTGTCGAGCCCTGGCTATTGCAACTAATTTTCTAGTCTAAATCTATTTAATTGGTCTGGGAACAAAGCTATGCTGAAATACAATTTGATGTCTACTTGTGAAATTTCTGTTGGCTTTTAAACTGTTGTGATATTGTTTAGACTCCTTACCCTTTAGTATCTTTTCTTCTGTTTGTTAAAGGTTAAGCATTTGTTAAGAAATGTAATTTAAGAAATTTGTAATTCCTCAGTGGACAATAGTGTGGATACCTGGAATCTTATAAAAAATGTCTACCTTGTTTTAGGAAAAACTTAAAAAACAACCAATAGTCTGGTAGCACTTTAAAGAATAACAAAACATGTAGATGGTATCATGAGCTTTCATGTGTACAACCCACAGCTCATGATACCATCTACATGTTTTGTTAGTCTTTAAAGTGCTACCAGACTGACTATTGGCTGTTTTTTAAGTTTTTCCTGTTACAAACTAACTTGGCTACCTCTCTGTACCTTGTTTTACACAGAACTCCTTCTCCACACTGTCATCTGATTATAACATTTGATCTTAAGCAACCCAATCCAGTTTTGAACTGGTGATTATCAGAGGTGAAAAAAAAGTGTTTTCCCTACCAGTTCTCCTAGAGCAGAGGAACCTCAAAGGCTGCATGGATCATAAGTTTGTTTATGTGAAATGGAACCTTTTAGCACTACTTGAAATTCAAATCTAGCTTTGTTCAATAGTACTTGAAAGATGTTTGCCCGAGACAGCTGTTTAATAGCCCATAATAAATAATGTATTACATAAGGAACTTGTTTAAATATATTTAAAAAGGAATTTTAATATCATAAAAGCATTTTAATAAAGCCAGTTAAGAACTAAAAACAATAGATGATACCCAGTAGAACTCTTCAAATAAAACCCATCTTTTTTATTCTGAAATTATCTTTCCTGGTAACAGATTACAAGCTCCAGTATAAATTTTATTAAATCCGCTTCCAAAAGATAAACCATGCTGTGTTCTAAGATCTATAGAACTGTAAACTGGTATCTATTTTTGAAAAAAGTGCCCATACGAAAGAAAACTTTTACTGCAATTCATTTTAGAATAAAAGTGAGTACTGCAGCTTGTTGCTTTTTACACTCACTTATTTTCTATTACCACTGATCATCTCTTAGAAAGCAAACTTTTGGGGAGACAGTCATGGGGTGACCTTGTTTTATAGAGCTTTAGACTTTCTGAGTAAATGTTTTAGGTGCATTTCACATTTTTGTATATGTAACAAGTTGTATGTGCATGTCTTATTGTCCTGCACCCTGCTAATGCCTTATCTGCACGTTTATCTTCACGTGTTTATCATGCATGTTCCTATATATGTCATACATCCTCCTGCCAATGCTTTGTCTGCAAGTTTATCTTCATGTGTCTAACACTCATATTCTTATATATGTGTCATGCATCCTTGGTAAGTGTGTGATTTGGGGCATCTTTTTATACCTCTTTTGAGCTTGTGTAGGGATAGCTCTGTCTTCTGTATGTATTCATAGCTGCATCGGTGCTGTGCATATCTGTATTGTGTGTCTCTCTTGCTTATATGCTTGCAGGTCCTTGTATGTGCATATTCTGTGCTTAAGCATATCTGCACACCTACGAATGTCTTTAAGTATCTTGTGTGCCTGTGTGTGTGTTTGCATATCTCTGTGTTAGCTTGTGTACTTTATGTTCTTCTCATATTACAGAGCGGCCGCTGCTGTCTCCAGCCCCTTCCAACTCCAGCATTCCAGTTCTCATAACAAACAGCTCAGTGAATCAGCGCCTGCGTGCAAAGCCTGCTGCACACTCGTGACCTAACAACAACACAGCAATATGAGCAGCCAGGCGGCGGCGGCGGCAGCGGCTGCAGCGATCTTGCGCTGGGTGCAATCTGGTTCCCCCAACCCTCCCCTCTGCAGCCGCCGCCTCCCACCGGCCTCCCCCCCCCTCCCCCCCCCCGCCACCGCACAC